CAAGCTTCTGCCTATCCTGTTTCTTCTTCGGCGGACGTCTTCGTCGTGCGACGGCCATTAGTGGCTTTTACAGAATGACTAAACATCCTCAGTGTGAGCGCCACATACGAATGTGCAAATGTTTGGGGAAGAAGTTGCATAAAGAGTCGAGCTCAAGAACGAAACCGCATAAGGAACTTCCGGGTACTCTCCGCAACTTTACGAAAGCCTCTACCTTTTCTGGATTACAGAAGCATTTTTATACACAAATACAAGGTCACTGAAACTGGAAGTGAACCCCCTCTTCGGTTGAGGAGTCTTCAACAGAAGTTTCTATTTGGTCGGTGGAAGGGTGCGAGAGGGGAAGGGGGAGCGGGGGTTAATCAAACTGACAAAAATCTTCTCCGATAGTTGATTTTCCTGTTTGCAATACCCACCAACTCCCTCCCTCCCCGTTATTCGGCGACGTAGAAAAACTATTTTCTTATAGCTGATGGAAGGTGAAACAGTTCGATAAAATCGCTGTTAGGTGGAATTCTAACTCCAGCAGAAAATTTGAAGGGGAGGTTCGCATTCTCGACTCAAGGCATGTCCTGGCGTTGGAAGGGAGTTCAACGCCAGGACATGCCTAACTTCCCGCCTCAATGCCAGGACGTGTCCTGCTTGACAAGGATTGATTTTGAGAGTCAATAACCAGGGAATTGATTCTGTTTACACCATGTAGTTTATTCTTTCCAGATCGGAGTCAGATTCTTCCGTTCACAGCCATCATTCACCAAATCGCCGAGACGAGAGCCGACGGACACGAACAACAAGATACTCGAAAACGTTCGAGTTGATCACTAATTGGTTGCGTTGCGAATCAAGAAGGCATAACTTGTGGATGCTACAGGTGCGTGTAGTAGGCCATCGACGTCGATCCGGCTCTCTCTCTTTGATTTGGCCCCGTTGTGTATTGGACGGAAACGAGTGCGTGTGACAAAGAAGTACCATCGTGTCCGAACAGTCATATCAATATGCTTTGTACGGTAATTACGTTTGAGACCGAAAGATTTGAGCGTTCTTTGGAAGCGAACACCGGACCTAGTAAAGCGGCCACACGAACTAGCACCTGTTTTGAAATCGCTGTTAACAGACCATTTATAGGACCAGGAACCAATGAGGCAACAACCCAGCATTTTTAGTGCCCAAAAGCACAGCACGCGTTCATTTGATGTTCCCACGCCTTCTTTGGATATCCCTCCCTACAAGGATGGAGGATGCACTAATACCGCAGCTCGAAAAACTAGAGGAAAGCACCGCTTGCTCGTCAGGAGGATACCGCCCCGCACATCTGGCTGCCACAACCCCCAACGTTCATTTTTAGCTATTGCCTTATGATGCGATTGCTCCGCTACTAATTCTCTCATTTCCGAAAGGTGAGAGTGAGGTGATAGGGAGAAAGAGCTCGCACGAACAAGAGGGAACTCGTCCAACCACGCCCCTTCCGCCTTGTGTATACTGTAATTCGCTGGTTGGGCGCGTCAGGCGAGATGATTTTGGCGCGGTGCCAAATCCGTTATACGTTCTCCATCAGTTGTTAAAGCGAGCAACTGATATGACTGTATCATATCGTTCGTATTACTCGTTTTCTACCACTTTTTGTCGCATGCGCGCTTCAACAAGAAGGCAGAGAACGCTTCCGGCGTGACACATTCCGTGCACGTATACTCTATCGCTGCCTGACAACTGTCAGCAGCGAACTAGAGTATAGGTGCAACCCCAGTTCGGCATGATATTCTATATAGGACACTTCCCACGATTTTTTTTTAATTTTTCTTGATTACTGGATCACTTGTTATTACTATCTGACCCGTTCAATTCATCATTTCTGAACGTCTCAGCGTTTAAGCGTTGGTGGGTGACATTTCCTACTTACAAGCATTGAGTATGTCAGAGTCTAACTACGATTTGTGCAACATACAAAAAATATGAAGGAAGAGATCAGAAAATCACCTGCCAGTGCGTTCATTTGGCTCATTTGCAGCATGGTCGTGAGATAATCAGCTGTGGTCTGAGCCGTTATGGCAGGAGCGGCACCGCAGGGTATTGTATGTGCAAGAGGAGAGTACCTATAAGGTCACATAAATGAACTGCCAACAAAACAATCCAGAGAGAGTAACGATTTACATACCTATATTTTGCGGTGAGAGGAGCATGATGTATCGGTCCAATAGCGGATCGAAGGGGTGCGGCTGCTCCCAATAATGAAAGCGGTACTAGATTAGAAGCTGCTACTTGTTGAGCTGCCTCGAGCTGAAAATTTGATCAATCAGTTACATGGGAAAAAAAAGTACGGAAACGACTGAGCAAACGAACAGGCAGAAAAGGAAGCGGAAGACCGCTTCCTTTCTTACCTTTACCAAAGAAATAAGGGAGCTTTCTCAAAAAATCGCCACTTCAGCGTCTGTTTCCATCAGTCCGTTTACCGATAGAGTTGCTTGATCCCAAAGCCTCACCTCTTGTAGAGCGTTTTGGCGCTGCTACTGGCAGGATTATTAGCGAATTTCACCGTAATTTGGTCCACACAACCGGCTGGTATAGTGCCATTCAAAGTTTGTATGGCGAGCTCAGCCTCTTCCTTCTTGTCGAATCGAACAAAGCCAACACCTTTCGACAGTCCTGACATTCAAATAATTAAAGTTAGGCCGTTCAGAAAATATCCTAAATAGGAACCTCGACAGGCTCAGCGATATTAACAAACGATTCAAATTACTGTGACATTATAATTCTTGAATAGTGTTCGGTTTACCAATTTGAGCTGTATGAAGTGCTTTTTTGATGTTTACCTCAAACTGTATACTTATCTACTTATCATGCTATCCGCTGAGGAAGGTGTACCGAAACATTCAAACGAGAAAGATTGCAAAAATATGAGCTTTGTCTAGCCATTGGAGTTTTTCTGCAACGAACCTTTGGTGTGCTTTTATTTACAAAATATCCAGAATGCAGATAGTTACGGCCTACTAGCTTTAGAGGGGAGACCTTTTTGCTAGTCCGCTGTCTTCTTCAGTCGCCTCTCTTCGATGAAACCTGTTATCCCACGTCAAGTCATGAAGTAGAAAACACTTTCTCTTTCTCTTCTGATAACCTGTAACCTATGTGAATCTAACTGTTACCGTATGAGCTTCACTATGTATGGCAGTATTAGGCAGCGTTCAGACTTCGCGACGGCAGCGCTTCGGTCGCGCGTTCGACGCGATCGATGCAGTCGAAAGCATGCGCATCGATCGTCGAATCGCGCGACCGAAGCGCTCCCTCTCTGCCATCGCGAAGTCTGAACTGCCTTGACTAGATACGAATCTACAGGTTTTCACGTGATGGCTTGCACAAGCTGCACTGAGTAGCACCTGGTAATTTCTACAGGCGTTTACTAATTCCGCCCACCCTCGCCCCTCCTCCCCTCACAACGATGGGAGCTGGCATGTTACTTCCCTGCCCTTCCTGCCCCATGAGGCGAACAGCGCCGAGGCTATACCAGCGGATGAAAGTAAGTAGCCTTTGTATACTCGTAAGAAAGAGTGATGAGTAAGCATCATGGAAAGAACCTTTCATCAAATACAGTCACTTCAACAAGATGTTACCATTTTCAAAATTTCAAAGCCATTCAGTCATTCTACAATGACAACGGAGCCAACTGAAGAAGTACGCTACTTTATCCTTCACGAAAAAAAAAAACTTCCAGAGACGCTAGTTCAAAATGCTTCAAGAACGTGGAAAAACGTACCCGTGACATTGTCTGAGAGGATCCGCGATGTGATGATTTGTCCAAATGGCCGAAAAATCGCTTCCAATTCGGTTAATGTCATTGACTTTGGAATACCGGACACATAAAGATTTGAGCCTTTGATGTTTTCATTACTTGGCCGGGCATAGGAGACCTGTAAAACGAGATCTTCCAAGATCGTATGAGTTCATCTTCACTGAGGCGAGGGCAAACAACTGATGTCTAACAGCACTTTATAAATGACAGTAAATATTCAAGACTCAACAATATTAAGGAAGATGGTGACTGCTTTGTTTTCAACTTCCAAAGTGAGCTTTCTATTCCGATGAGTAGCTAGGGAAAGTCCAGATGAGTAAAAATGGCAGCGGTGGAGTAGAAAATAGACACCAAAACTTAGCTACTGGAACTATAGCTTGACTTACCGCAGCCTAAGGTCATTAGGTTTATTCAGCATTAAATGGGTAACTCTCATGTTTGACTTACATGATGTAGGATTAGGAGAGTTGCCCTAACATTATCAAAGAGATGAATGTGTCTTTCGCATCCAATCAGTCGGTGTAATTTAAAAAGGCTCGTTAATTAGGAGGACGTCAAAGGACGGAGGAGAGAAAGGGTATAGAGGGCGGAGACAGCGAAAGAAAAATGGACTCCATAATGTGGCTAATGAGCAACGCTCGTCTCGTTATCGTCAAGAAAGAAAGAGACGGAAACGGAAGAATCTTTTACTTCAGCTTTTAACCTCACCTCTGCCTGTTCACTTCTTTCTCGCTCAAATTTCACCATCAGTGTGGTGAGAAGATGAAAAACACTAGCAGTGAAACATAGGATAAGAAACGGGGTTCATTAAGGGGTTGCATACGTGGAGTCAAATATCGCAACAATTCACGACGCACTCTGGGGACCCCAGCGGGAGGGGCTCGTATTTGGTCGCTGGAGGGAGGGGGTCGTATTTGGTCTGCGGAATTATTTTTCAAAAATTGATTTTTCCCCTGTTTCACGAGCGCTATCCACATCGTTACGAGGATGCAATAAGGGGGGGGGGGTCGTAACTGCTCGTCGTTGAAAGGGGAGAGGGTCGTATGTGCTTCTAACAAAATTGCAGAGTCGCGAAATATTAGGTCATCCCATTCAAACGTGCCGCCGGTTTTTTTGAATAAAACAAAGAGGAGAATAGATAGAAAAGTGATATTTTAGCTTTAGGATGAGTAAATCCCTCCTTCACCAATGACCCGCTCCCAGTGCCCCGAGGGCCTTTGGACCTCTGGTACCTTCGATTTTTCAACAAGTGTGGGTAAATTGCTGTTGTTGCCAATTTCGGCAAATGACAAAACATTGTAGCGTCTGCCGTCGGAGAGTACTCTCGACTGACCAGAACAGTTGGAATCGCACGGCTTTATGTGGGCGAATGGGGCGATTGAAGG